GTTCTTGATATACAGAGCTGTGATGTCCTTGACGATGATGGATCACATGTTCTTCTCAAAGTTCTGGATATGTTTCCAAGGCATGCTCAATGAAGCTCCTATGGACTCGAAGTTCTCGAATACTGACAGGTGAATCTGTGCTTTCCGCTGTTTGTCTTCGTGATCCCCGTGTAGCGTATCTCTTTGGAAATCAAGTATAGTCGTGCATCTGTGGAAGCTGTCCTTGCTTCGTCAATGAACCCATAATCATCACTTGTCGGCCAATGAATCCTTGCCGGCCGATGAAGAAATGTGTTCAATGTGTTTGTCAATCGATTGTCTCGAAGACTTGCGATACTCAACCGCTGCGTTTTGTCAACTGGGATGCACTTCGTACCTGTGACGAGCTGGTATAAGCCGTAGCAGTCTGTGACGATATCTACAGGAAGGATTGACCTGCCCTCATGCTTGCATCGTCATGAGAAACTTCAATCCACATGTCGCGTTGCGTTCCAGTTCTGGTCGGGCCAACATCTCCGTGAAGCGTAGGGTTATAAAGTGTGCCGTCTGTGGACCACCAATTGCAGCAACCATCGTTGCATGGCTTGTAGAATATAAGACTCTCTGTGAAATCCGACTCTTTCCAATGAGTGGGTGTGTTGCTCCGAAAAACGTAATCATATGAAGACAATGCCACTCTACCACAATGATTGTAGGTAATCGGCTGACTTTCCATGAATCGTAGTCCCTGAGCTTCATGTGCATAGGATCTACTCTTCGTAGCGTGTGCCGCATCACTGATACCAACCAAAAAGGGTCCCGTCGACTTCTTGGAACACAGGCCAGCCTTTTCACGATGCTTCTTCGCTCGCTCAAGCGCTAATCCGATTGCTTCCAGATAGCCGAGAGCGAGGGATTTCTCATGATGACCTGCCTATCGCACTTACCCAATCATGGAACATCTTCCCGAGCTGTCCATGTCAGCAGTGGTCGCCCATAATCTCGTCGACTCTCCAGTTCCACAGGGTCTGTGTTGTCGTTCGGTTGGGGCCAGGCTCGACAGGAGAACTCACGAGAGCGACTGCTGGCCTAGTTCTGCCGTGAGTTCCAGGAGCAACAGTTTATGATCCACGCGATGTAGGTCCCAGCCATATTTGTAGTCGATCGGTGGTAATGCAATCAAGTATTTTCGAACAGCTGCCAGTGAAACGCCTGAGGTGCCTGGAAAAGTCTTCATCCGCAACTCCGCGTTATGAGCACGCATGCGTCGAATAAGGGCTCGAACGTTTCCAGGTCTGATCGCTGGAAATTTCGTGGCGCTGTCAAATTTATCATTCATGATCTCGTCGTCGTGTGGTGCTGGTCCGCGTACTCGAAGTTGCCCGGCCATTCGTCATTTGCATCTTGTATCCAAGCTCCTCCAGCGATCACATAATTCCTTTTCAGCAAGGTTTTGATAAGACGCATTCACTTGAACTGGTTCTGATGGTGCTGTCAAGATCGCCGTCGAAATATCGTTCTGATTCTGCGCTTCGGGATCCGGCGGTGATGAACCAGTTGCATGTAGGTGAGGCCGTGGCTTTCGATCATAGGAAAAGGTCCGAAATAGCTTATCCATGCGTCGTTCAATCAATTCCAGAATGTGATTCGCTGTCTGCTCTGTCTCCTTGTGCTCCACGTCGATCGGTAATAGATAATGTCAGGAATCGGTTAGAAGAGCTCGTGCTATCGTAGCTGCTTTGTCGTCGGGTACAAATTCCCAGATGCCATCGCCATTGTCAACGATGCCCTCGATTTGGAGGCTTTTCTGTCGCCTGAATGTATTGTTGGGTCGAATTCCAGGGCATCGAGCTCCACAGGTACCAATGAGATCTGCCTGATATGTGGAATCGTTATGCATGCCTTCAATCCAGATTTGTCCTTTGAAATCGCCGCAAGATGGGTCCGCTTGTCCATTGATGCCTGTGAAAGTCGCCTGCGAGCCACGTATCTCGTATTGAATCCTAGCTGGACCGTATAGATCTCGATTCCATTCCAAGAGCGTCTCAGTACCCTTTAGACCTTCAGCTGCTCCGGGATTGATGATGAATCCATGTCGAGGCCTTATCACGGTGTGAAGTATTACGTAAGGATTATCATTGTTTCGGTTTGTTCGTTGTTCGAGTCAAAGTTTATTTTGATTCCAAGTTTGGTTATCTTGCTGACTCGCGGAACGCATGGCATGATTGTTGTCATCATTTTGTTGACAACCGAATTGTGACGTGAATGTTGAATGTGCCGCCGTCCTTTGACTCCTCAAAACCACCAGCGCACATTGCGTGGATAGCTTCTGGGCCAGCGTGATTGGTTCCGAACTGGTAGTGTTCTGATTCATTGGTTCAGGTCTGCCAGAAGTACGCTGGACACGATCTCCTTGAAATGGTGAAGAGATGCCTAGGATCGGGGGGTTGTAGTCTGCATTTTCTTGTTGGACGCACTCTCGTTCTTCTCGTTGGTATCGCCTTCAGTACGGGACCATCCAGATGGAAGTGTTCAGGTCTTTCTTGTGTCACTGGTATCGCGCTGCCTGTCGATGGGCGGCGAGCCGACGTTGATCCAGTATCCAGGAGGTCTTGTCATCATCGTCGCTGTTGCCATGTAGTTCGAAGATGCTGAGTGGCCTGGTACATTCGCGTTGTGCCTGCCCTTGTCTTTGCCTTTGCCTGTGCCGCCTGAGTCTGGAGGTGCCGCGCCCGATTGCGATGAGCCTTGTTTGTCCTTCGCCGGATATGAAGCACTGTCCTTATTGCCACAGATATTGCCATTTTCATGTCGTTGACCAGGGCCAACAATGCGATAGTTACCTCCTGCTCTTGTGCTCTTACCCCGACCACGACCTCCTCGACCTTCACCTTTCCGAGAACATCCCGTATGTTTGCCTTTGCCATCCAAGTAAGTCTCGGTGCTTCAGCGTAGGCCTTCTCCAGGTACTCAGACACGTTACCGTCGCCGTCGTACTTCGCCCAAATGTCCTCGTACCCTGGTATTTCCATTCGTCGTCAGCAGTGGCTGACCAGCCATGCTCAGCGTCGTAACCCCATTCGCAGTGGTCGTCCTCGTAGGCCTCGCACCAGGTAGAAACGGGTTCGTCCTCGTCGTAATCTGCAGCCTCGCCATACCAGGCCCAGTCGTGATGATGTCCTGCTTGATCTTGCTTGCCGAGCATCATCATCAGGCCCTGCAGTGTCCGATATTGTGTGGGATCTCCTGCGATGTGCAGCTACACTTTTTTTTTACCATCGCAGCGGAGCCCAGCGGCAAGACGAGGGAACGACAGACGAAAACGACGACGGCGGAAACGACGAGGAGGAGGAGGGAAAGGGGGGGCGGGGGGGCAAGCGCCCACGCCCACGCATGCCCGGCGCCGGCTCGGTCCGGCGGGCCAGGGCGCGCGGCCAGCCGATCCCGAAGGACGGCGCGCCAAGCCGGTGCAACTACACATCGTCTAATCTTTTCTCGGGCCGGACGAAAGGGGGGGATTGGGAAATTTGCTGCATGCAGCTGGTTTCGGCGTCACCGAGGGGCCCATTCCTCGATACATAGCCGCCTCCAGCGCTGGGAGGCGCCAGGAAAATCAGCTACGTGAGCTGATCCTCAACCCCCCCCTTTGCTATCCCCCCCTTTCGCCCGACCCGACTTCCTCTGATAAGCAGCAGTTCTTCTGCGGGAGGTGGCTCTTGCGGGTGTCATCCGTGACCGAGCCTCCTGCCTCGACCGCCAGAGGCCAGCTCGAAGGAAGCTATCCAGGTGGGCAGGTCCTGATGGTGACTTCGCCGACGCTCGAAGGACGAGTCGAGAACCACGCCTGGGGTGTCTTCATCGAGAGGTTTCGTAGGTTCCAGCTTCCAAAAAAAAGTCTGGTCGTAGTCTTTCGTATTAATAGGTTCCTTTTTATATGTGTTCTCATATGTTTCGGCCAGTTAGAGGTGGTGGAGGAGGCGGTGGAGGAGGATGAGGCGGTGGAGGAGGTGGAGGACGAGGAAAAGAACGAGGAGGAGGGAGGAAGAGGAGGAGAAGGAGGAGGGAGGAGGAGGGAGGAGGAGTAGGAGGGAGGAGGAGGGAGGAGGAGGAATAGGAGGGGGACGAAGGAGAGTGACAGATGATGTAGGGTAGGCGGCAGAGCAGTGTGAGGAATGTTGCAGGATGCGCAAGTGTGCTGCGCATTGACATCCTCCTCCTCCTCCTCCTCCTCCTCCTTCGCGGGCCGCAGCGCTTTGCGCCGGCCGCGCGCGTCCGCCACGGGCCCCCCCCCGAGGCGGGGCGCCTGTCTGGCTGGGGCGGCGGCGTCGATGACGACGGCGACGACGGCGACGATGAGAACGGCGATGATGACGACGACGTACGAGAACGATAAAGGAAAAGAGGAAGCCTTGAAGGCGCCCTCTTTTCCTTTATCGTTCTCGTGTTCTCGTGCGTCCCCTCCCCAAGGCCCAAGAGCCAATGCGCACCGTGCCGCCGTGGCCGTCATGCGAGCTAACGCGCGCACGGGCACGTCGCCAGCTTGAAAGAATTGTGAGGGTGCCTCGGGCGAGAGCGCCGTTCCTGAGTTTTGGGGCCTCTGGCCATAGCGTCTCGGGGTACAGCGTGGGGAGGTGGAGGAGAAGACGGGAGCGGAGGGGGAAGAGTTTTTTTTTCAGGCTGCAGATCGGTCGCGAGACCCTGGATTCCCGAAGGCATCCTTACCCAACGCTTCCAAAACGCCAAGATGGGACGATAAGGGAATGCTTAACAGCAAGGGTCCCAGGGTCCAAGGGTCGTCCGCGTAGCCATTTGGGCTCAAAGTTTGCTTCGGCACGACAATGCTTCGGACTGAGAGTTCGATCGCCACTCAGATTTTTCAGCACCTGAGTACCAGGAAGCATGTCACCAGAACGATTGTTTCGACGGGCACTCTCAGCGCTCGAGCCATCAGAGATATGTTGGGTGCCTTGCGTCTGGACGTGCAACCCAAAACGATAAAGGACACTATATCCAGCCTCGGCATGCGTGCGGATAATCACGGCATCAGGTTCGAATGCTTTCACTTGTTGGTCAACTCGTTCCTGGGCGCCGCTGTTGTGTCAGAGGCCACGCTGGTAGAAGTTTTTGAGAAGCTGGCAGAATCGATTGACGTCCCAGTTATCCAGGCGCCCGACGGTAACGAGGTCAAGGATGCGCTGGCGCTCGCAGCGGAGATCCAAGGCAGCTTCGACGTGGTCCAGCGCCCGAGCGTCTCTGTCTACTACGAGATGCCCAAGTACGATTTAGCAGTGCAGATGGTGGAGCGAGACAACGAACCAACACTCTTGCAGTCCGAACTCAAGCAGGTGAAACGACGGCTGGCGACGACGGAGCAGCGCTTGGGGCTACACACAAAAAAATCTCGGATCCTACACGACACCCACCGTTCACTGGTGCAGAAAACGAACTTCAGACCAGGCAAGCGCTGCGTCAGCATATGGAGCGGCTACCATTTGGCGTACAAGAGGTCTCACGGCTGCAGCAGCGCACGATCTGTCGTGGCCATGTGCGCTGGCGAGGAGTGGCAGGGGTCCTTCACAGACGGCGCCAAGAACATGGTCATCCGCTTCGAGCATAACCTGTCCATTGCCAGGACCGTGGTCGTCAAATCATTCTATGACTCGGTCAATCACTTGCACGCGACATCGAATGAGATATGCATCAACTACGCGAGGGCGGCTTCTCTGGACAGTGGGGATATGGTGGCGTTGATTGGGGGCAAGCTGTTCAGGTTCGAATTCTTCATGTTCAGGGGCGACGCCACGAACCAAGAGGCAGTCGACAAGGCAAAAGTGTGGACAGGTGAAGCCAGTTACATTGCAACATGCCCAGAGGCGTTGAGCGACATCAGCAGCGACACCAACTTCGACAGTGACGACCTCAAGCTGACATTCTTTCGGGAAGTGCTGGACTTGCAGACAGTTCGGACGGGCGGTGCAAAAGAAACCACAGACTTGGTGACGCGACAGTTTCGCAATGCGGGGCTTCCGACGTGGATGGAGGCCGCATGCCGAGATGGACCTAGCTTTCGGAGTTATCATGTTTGCTTAGATAGCGGACCTGACTGCGTGGGCCTCGTTCGAGCTGCAGTCGCAGCTGTTTCTAACGTCCGTTGGGTGATGATATCTAGTTATTTTTGCCGCTTCCATCAGAACGCGCTGATCCAGCAGAGCATGGTTGCTATCACGAACAATTGGGAATGGCATACGCCCTGGGGATCTTCTTCGTTTCTTTCTGGTTTGAAGGTTATCGCGAACACTCTGAGAGGCGCAGGCGTCCCACGGAAAGTCAGAGAAGCAGCTGCCGAGCTCAAGTTCCCACCCAAGGTTGTCAAATAATCTGTTGGCAACACCATTCATCGGGTTATCGCGACGCGGTGGGGCTCCGTTGACGACGTCGAGATGTACTTGAGGAATGGTCGGCATGTACTTGGACCCGCTGTCAGACGCACGTGGCCGAAGTTCGACGACACAGACGCAGACAAGACAAAGAAGAATACAAAAAAAGCTGGACGGTGAGGGCGCTGAGTGGTGCGAGAAACGCCGAAACTACCGCCAGACCACGGTTGCCTTGTTGAATGACAAGTTGTTTTTGGGGACAGCTGAGATCGACCTCGTCGCGAAGGGCCCCCTTGCTCATTTCCAGCGTTGGGCGCAGCAGGAGAGCAAGATTGAGCGAGAACACCAGTCGGAAGCATCAAAGCAAGGGACCGCCTACACGGGTCCAACCTTCGTTTCTAAGTTCGTGTCGGGCAAGGCCAAGGTTATCTTAGACGAGTTCAACGCCCTCCTGGACGACGACGCCATGCTGACGCACTGGGTCGGCACCTGGAGTCTGATTCGAGCTGACGATGTACCAGAACATGTCGAGGAGGTTCGCAACGCCAAAAGAAACTTCACAACAATGAAAATACGCCAGTTGGTTTTGAGTTTTCGGTTTGTTTTCGGTGGTCTGATTTCGTTTGGCGTTCGGACCTCCTCGAAGGCATTGTGCTTGATCGTGACCTTGGTGGTGCGTGGCGCTCTTGATTGGGAGCGACGGATGTACGACCCCACGCAGAGGTTCCCACCCGACTTTCTCAACGTCCTGGAGGCGGACCCTGAGGAGGCCTCGGCTCCTCGCAAAGCCTTAGCCCATCGGTTGATGACTGCGTCCAAGGAGAACTTAGAGTGGCAGGATGGCGTGTACAACTCCTTCAGCTTCAAGTTACGTGCCATGTTCTATGAAGATTTCTTCATCATGCAGGGCACTGGTAAGTGCACGAGGATGGTATGGATATTTCTTGCAGGCTGGCGCGCGTTATTCAATGGCGAGACGCAGGAGATCGAGGGCTGGAACAGCACGTTGAAGAATATGTGCGAACGGGCTCCACGCACTAAAGTGAGACTGGCATCGGATCGCCTCAAGAACAGAGTTGGCGAACGGACTCCCACCGACGAGGCCGTCGCAGTGCACGAGAAGGTCGTCGAGTTCTCAAAGACAGATGCGAACATGTTTCGCTTCAGCCCCCTTACAGACAAGGAGCGCGATGCCAGCGCAGGGCCTCATCCTGATGCTGTCCCTCTTATTGGATCGAGCAATACGTCCGCCACGCACTTCGTCGGTGACCTGCCCGACAATGCCAGGGAAGCACTTCCGATATCTTATAGCATATTTGATGCGACTGACTTGGGAGCCAGGCATGCGTATGTGATTGTCGGCCCAGGCGCACCTGATACACGCGCACTTGCTTTAGATCGCAGCGTCGTATTCTTGGCGGGGACTTCGCACTACAAGACGATGTATTGCGCAACTGGCCACGTGGACGAGCTATGCCATTTTCATTTGCACGTTCCAATTGTCAAACGTACCGCGTGTGCTCTGGTTGGTGAGGCCCTACATGCATTTCACCCTCTTCCAGCTGGGCGGAAGCAGCGTCCTCGCTTGCATCTGGTCCAGTACATGTTGTCGTGGACGTCGTTGAAGGCCGCCTCGGTGATCGCTGACACTGCCCAAGTGACGCCGCTGTTCAAGCGGGCCTACAATGGCCCCAAGAAAAAGAATACACACACAGTCGACGCCGAGGGCGGTTTGCCTGACATGCTTGAGGACGACGGCGGCTTCTCTGAGGAGCTTGAACGATTGATTGCCCAGGGCGCCATGGAGGAGGAGTGCGAGGACCTCGAGGGCGCCAGCGAGGGCCTCGACAGCGACGGCAAGGATACGGACGTTGAGGACGACGCTGGAGATCGACAGCCTGACCAACATAACCATGCCGGGCCTGATAAAAGCGACGTCTTTGACGCCATCTCTGGCGACCACCGAGCTGAGCTTCTCCGCAGCGTGAGGGGCGCATGCGAGGCAAGCCGCACATCTGCTCGGGACGCGATGTACTTCGCTGAGGACTACGGCTTCAGGACTGACATTTCAGATGCTCCTGAGCGGGGCTTGGTATCGTTGGTTGAATTGCGAACAGTTGCAGAAGATGGTCAAGTTCATTACGATGTTGTCTTTGTTGCTTGGGAGGGTGTTGGCAGGTCTGCAAAAATAGCAAGGGTGGACCTCGAGCACCTCTGGTTCAAGTATAACGTGCCGGCGACTGAGCATCTCAAGAGGGAGTGCGACAGGGACCACTGCAACATCATCATCGGGAACGTGCCTGTCAGGGTCACGCGGCCCAAGGACTTGCGTGAGCGTGTGCCTGATTGGTGCTTGCTAATTATGAAGGCCTTCGCGGCCGAACTGTTTTCTGGTCCGATTGCTCGCGACTGTCTCTTCAGTTGCGACGCCCCCTGCGTTGTTTGTGCGTGCGCAGACACCATGGGCATGGATGTCAGGGTCGTCGGCGGCGGTGGTGCGCAGCCCGTAGAGCACTTTGATTCGTACATTTGTTCCGAGTGCGTTGTGTACTGGCACAGCGCGTGCGCAGAGAACGTGGCACGTGCTTTTGGGATGGGGTCCCCATTCGAAGAGGAGGGCCTTTTCGTTTGCCCCATTTGTCTGAACGAGTGAATGCATTGCCCTGTGGGGTCAGGGTTGAACCATTGGTGCGCACCGCAGGGGATATGTTGGTGCTGCCGCAGGTGTAAGAAAGCCTCGACGTGGCGACTGCGAGGGGGGAGCGTGGGAGGAGGACGGGAGGAGGACAGGGGGGGCGGGGAGGGAGGAAAAGATGCCGATGGAACAAGGAAACGCTGCGCCCAAGAGTGCTCGTTGAGGGATATGAGAGGAGGAGTCGAGGAGGAGAAGGTCGGGGTGGATGGAGGGGAAGGGAGTGAGGGAGGGGGCGCACGGCATCCCGAACAGTGAATTCCATGTCGCGGGGGCCTCCCAAACGCTGTAAGATCAGAAAGGGAACGGCAGTCTGACCCTTGAAAATACCAAGCTCACAGAGGAGGATATTGGGAAAATTCTAAGCGTCTTGAGGTGGATGTTGGAATTTTTCTAAGGTACTTGAGGTGGATGTTAGAATTTTTCTAAGGTGCTTGATCTTTATATATTGTTTCTTATTACAGCCAAGTGACCTTAGAATTTTTCTAAACTCCACGTCGGGTCGCTCAGAATTTTTCTAATATCCGCTTCGATTCGCGTTGGATTATTCTGATGTCTACCTTTGATGCTTTAAGGTCTCGTGAGTCTTGGGTCCGCTCTAGACCGACCCCCTGCGGCGCCGCGCAGCGCTGCCGACCCCTCCCTGAAAGCTGCGGGGCGGCCGTTCGGAGGGGTTCGACGACCTCGCGATCCTGGGGGGATGGGGGTCCTGGGGGGGGGAGAGGGGGATTCGGAGCGCCAGAACAACGGGGGACGGGGGGGGAGGGAGGGGGGGCCCAGAGGGGGGATGGGGGGGGGCCAGAGGAGGGGGGGGGGGGGAGGGGCGGGCCGAAAAATTCGAAGCGCCAGGGGGGGGGGCGGGGGGGGGGGCGGGCCGAAAAAATCGAAGCGCCAAGGGGGGGGGGGGGGGCGGGAGGCGGGAGGGGGGGGGCGGGGGGGGGCGGGCGGCGGGGAGGGGGGGGGGGGGGGGGGGGGGGGCGGGGGGAGGGGGCGGTGGGGAGGGGGAGGGGGGGGGGGGAGGGGAGGAGGAGGATTGGGGGGAAGCGCCCCGAAAAATCCCCCCCGCCCCCCCCCACCCCCGCCTCCCCCACCCCGCCCCGCACCCCTCGTCCGCGCCGCCTCTCGGGGCCTCCGCGGTGCCGAGGCCGTAGGGGCCAGGGGGCCGGCAGCCAAAGGCCGGTGGTTCGCGGCAGGGGGTGAGCTCTCAGTGCAAATGTTTGCCCGTCTCTCCGCGCCATTATTTTTTCACCCCCCCCCTTGTGGCGAGACCCTTGGAGGCAGTTTCGCGGCCCTGCTCGACCTTGGCCCTCGTCCTCCGAGCGCTGGCCCTGGAACCCCTGAGATGAGTGGCCTGCGGTGGCCTTCCCATGACGTTCCCTGTCAGCCGTTTCTTGTCCGCTTATCCTATCCCCCCACCCTCCCCCCTCCATTCCCCTGCCTTTGCCAAGTCCTCTGCCCCTTTCTTTCCCCCCCTCTCCTCCCCTGCCATCGTCGCCCACGTTCTCTCTCATATCCAGTCCTTCTTTTGTCCTGCGAACGCTTGCTTCCGCCCGGCTACTCCCAGCGATGGCAGCTGCCAGCTCCCATGGCGACATGGCGCTCGTGCCCAAGGAGCCCGAGCCCAAGATTGCAGACCCGTCCACGTTGTTCCTGAACGATCGTGCGAGGTTTCCAACGATATACGACAGGTTCGTCGGCTACGTGGCGGGTCACGAGCTCGAGAATCTAGTGTTCAGGCTGCACGCGCGTCAACCCCGATGGCTGCCCCTCGTGCACGAGGGCAAGTTCACCATGACCAGGGACCCTGCCAACAGGAGGTGCCCCGAAGAAAAAGGACGCTTAAGGGCACGCGCACACGGTTAATGATTACTGCGTCCTTAAGCGTTCGTTTTCTTCTTCAGAAACAGAAACATAGGTACAATATGGCGACAGTCTTGGACAGGTGCAAGTCAGTTGAGACGATTGGCATATGCAAGGTCCGTAAGGGGCCATGGGTAATTCCAGCAGGCGAGAATCAATGGACTGTTCTACACTGGGCGAGCTTGCTTGAAGATGCCAAGATGGCGATGGAGAAAGATCCCCACAAGAAAAGCAGGACGGTTTGGATCGCTCTCGAGGCTGGTTGTGACTCTGCTGTGGAGTTCGACCCGAACTTACCAGACGATGTGAAAGACTACGTCATCGAGCTAGGCAACGCCACCAACGCCAGCACTTTGGTGGTTACGGTGCTCCAGGTGTTCATGTCTACCGAGACGATTCTTTCTGGATGGGCAATCCAGAAGGAAAAGGTAACTGCTACTGGTGACGGTTGTGGCGGGGCGCTTACGCTCTACGCTCGCAGGCATGCCTATGCCAACGCTGTATTCTCTGGCCGCTGGCGCTCACAGAACGCGCTCGACGTGACGATCAACACCTACAACCTTTTGCAGACAACGATGACATCAGCAGGCATTTCAGTTTGGGATCAGATGGTATCTTATTTCGAGACAAAGGCTGACTACATGCATGAGTACATGAAGGACACGAACGCGGTCATCCAGAACATCAGTTGCATTTGCAAGGTGCTGTGCTCTACTTATCCCGACTTCGTCGTTCCTGTCATTGCCCTCGTGATCCCGCACCTCGAGTCTGAACCCCTCGGGGCGTGCCCAGCGCTGCCAGATGGCATTCCGCAGGGCAAGTTGCGAAAGCTGTCAGAGGCCATGGTGAGGAACTTGCTGGCGAGCATGGCCGACAGCGCGACTATGAAGGCGAAGGTCTCTGCGGGGTGCGCGTGCGCATCGGATGGGGACAACGACGTGTCTTTCCTGAGTGACGTGATCCAGTTCACCGCGATGCTCAAGCACAAGCTGAACGCCCCCCAGGACAACCTGAACGCATACTCGTCGATCCTGTGCTTCTGCCAGTTGCAGGGAGAGGTACAAGTTCCAGGGAATGGCAACACCCCAGCGAGGACGATCAGCAGATACACCGCGATGAAGCGCCACATCATCAACGCTGCATTCAAAGCATCTGGCATGGCAAAGAAGCCCAGCGACCTTGAGATCTACTACGCCGACGCAGGGGACGACAGCCAGCTTGCAGAGTCGCCCAGCAAGGCGCCTCTGGAGGAGAAGACTGACGAGACGCTCTTGGACACCTTCAAGACCTTGCAGGACAACGGTTCGGCGGCCCGCATGAAGTCCTACCTGATGGTGCACCCGATCGACAAGCCGATCCAGTTGCACATGGCAGTCTGCGGGATTACGAGCAAGGTCTACACGTCTATGATTGGAGCATGCGGTGGTGCAGAGGGCAAGTCTGGAACTCCAGATAGCCAACGTGAGCTGATCGAAGAGGCCACGAAGCGCGTGGTCACTGCCGTCATGGATGAGATGCCGTTGGCGTTCGACGAGATAGTGATAAACTTTGGACAGTTGTCGGAATTCGAATTTGCTTTGACAGCTGTTTCAACCAGGAGCGACTATGCCGACACGGAGCTTCTGAGGAAGACGTGCGAAGAGATGGGCGTGATCGGGGCCACCGGCCGCAAGAAGCTGAACATGGTCAGGCTGAACACGTTCTTCGCAGTGTGCAGCACGTTATCTACGATGCAGGTCCCCCTCAACGGCACTCCGAAATACATGTTTGGCTTGCTGTCTGTGCAGGACATCTTCAAGAAGATCGCGGAGTCCATCGAGAGCCAGCGGTGCGGAGCGCAGGAGCCCATCGATATCAAGATCATCACCAAGGCCATCGACGGCGACGTGTCCATGGCTGTCTTCGGCGACTGTTTCAGCAAGGCTGCCAGTGCCATATATATGTCACCACAACCACGTTAGCCAGCCCCCTCCTGAGGAGGAGGCCAGCTGACGTGGAAGATGTGGCATATATCTGGAGGCGTTTGCTGAACTGGTGGCGACGGTGAACAAGGTTTGCCCGACCAAGGCGAAGGCGCATCACACGCTCGTCGCGGGCCTGAGGGGGGAGCTGCAGGGCTTCACTCATACGCAGATGAAGGAGTTCGTCGTGTCGCAGGGCTTGCAGAATATCGAGGTGCCGCCATCCATGGGAATCTTCTCGTCTGTGAAAGCTGCGCTGGTAGAGGATGTCATGACTGCGGTTCAAAAGAAGTGCGCCGACACGACCTTGGCAGCCACGTTCCTCGTCGGCAACGTTGGCGACAAGGTGACGATCCTGCGCGACCAGCTGGCCAAGGCAAGCGCCACCGCTACAACTGCGGCGGCAACAGCGGCGGTCGCGGCACCGACTGCGGGGCAGACGACTACGACTACTCCAACCAAGACTGCCAAGGAACCAGTCCCCATCGCCGTCGACGACGGCAAGGGCATTCCCCAGGGCGACTTCAACCTGACCAGCCTGGGGGTCACGCAGTGGATCAGCATGCTCACCGATGAGGACCGCTCGAAACTAACATGCAACATTAATGACACCAGCTTCCTTCTCGCCCTCACTTCTTCTCCCCGCCTTTCCTCCCAAATTCGAGAGGAGCTGAAATCCAACGGGCCCGACCACCTTGCCATGGCCAGCGCGACGAAGGCGCGGGTGATCGCCTCTGTGCAGGGCCATTTCACGCCACCCGCTGACGGACTGCAAGGCCGCTTTCTCCGCGACGTGCTGATTGACTTTTCCAGGAAGAAGAGCGTGGGGACCTTGACAGCTCGTCTGGCGGCAGACGCAACGACCACGGAGGCTCCCGAGTTCGTTTGTTGGGGCAGGGTGGTAGATGCGATCGCTGCGAGGAGCCTTCCGCGTGGCACTCTGCTTCCACTGGGGACAAGCAACGGTTTGAGTTTGTTCCTGGATGGCTCGAAGCTCCTCAACCCTTTGGTTTCAGACGCATGCATCGCATGGATGCTCCCGATGATCAAGGACGACGTGGACGGTGAGACCAACGCCGATGCTGCCCCCTTGGTGGACAGCGCGGCCAACCCTGAGGCTGGTGCATGCGCAGCTGGCAGCAGCAGCGGTGCCCAGCCGCCCAGCAAGAAGCGCAAGGGCGCCTCCGCTGCCAAGGCGCAGCAGGCGCAGCAGGCAGCACCCCCAGCAAAACCACAGCCGAAGAAGGCTGGCAATCGCAAGAAGCTTTCTCACACGCACTCTGTCGAATTCGAGACCGTGCAATTTGATGTCGAGGTCGACTCGACTGCCAAGGTTTTCACTTTCGAGAGGCCTTTCTTGAAATCCAACCGCCCCCTCAAAGCAGGCGAGACTCTTCGTCGCAAAGCCTTCGAGTGGACGGAGGCCAACTCCCCAGGCGAGGTTGTCTCGGGCAGGACTGCGTCGGCGCGGATTTTTGGCATGTCTTGAGCTTTGACGCTGCTTTGAGGGAGGGGGGAAGGAGAAGGATGAGAGAGAGGAGAACAGGGGAACGTGGGAGGAGGATAGGGGGAATACAGACGCAGGAATAGCTCAACGATGTGAAGTTTCGTCATAGCAATCGCCAGCGCACAGAGCGCACTGTACACCATCACTTCGTTTTGGCATTTTGTTTCGTTGATTGGTTCTCTTTAAGAATGTATCTTTCGCTCGTCCAGGGCACTCGGGCACCAGGCATGTGGGTTGTAGGCCTTGGTGCGCCCTCGACTTGAGCGAGGCAATGCACGAGTGCATTGCCGCGGGGTGGTGCAACCAAATGCACCGCCCTCCAGCCCGACACGTGCCGAGAGAGAGCCGATTTGGAGCGTTCGCAAGAAAATCACAAGGCTGTTCGACGTCAAAGTTAGGGCCCCGAGGCTTCGAAATCCATACTGTTCGGTGCCGAGGGCTTTTGTTTTCGGTGCGCGTTCACGACCAGAGCCCTCGGGGTCACGTGAACTTAGCCGCTGGGTGCAACCAATATCCTCCACCTCCCCCCTCCGTCCTCCTCCTCCCTTCTCAATTTCCGCTCGCTTCTCATCGTCCCCCCCCCCCAGCGAACCTAACATATATTAGTTTCCTTCACCTTCTGTCCAAAACCACAATAAAGAAATCATAATGTAGATGAAACACACGCCCTAACTTTTTTTTTGCATGCTGAACCGCCCAAGCGAGAGGATAAAGACACCCCAAACCACGCCTACCCGGTCTTGACTGTGCGGTTCGTATAAAGATTTCTCTTGATTGAGAAAGTGTCGGATACCTGCTTGATCTTCTTGGATTCCTGGTGCCGTTGCCTGCGGTGGTAGTGCAATGGCCTCATTTCCTCTGTCAGTAATGCCATCACGTACGCGGGGGAATGACTTTGATGCTGCGAATGGTGCGACGCGACGGCGTGATACAACTGGAGGTTCAATATTTTCATATCTCTCTTCGTCCGTGATTCGCATCAAAATCCAGCTGCTGCATATATCTCGTGACCGTGTAGCCTCGTGTGTGGGGGGCCATCCCAGTGGCACGAACTCCGTGAACTCCTCAAGCTGCCATGTACCGCCGTGCTGTCTGCTCTGCTGCTGGTGCGCCATGGGGCCGCTGACGAAGTGACCGACGGAAAAGACTGTGTAGAAGGTGCCGCAGATCGGGCGTGCTCTCCTGTAGGTGACCTAGGTGCATGCTGCACCCGATGTGCTCGCCGTACTGGCAGTACTAGATCTCGACTGGCGCGTCCATGATCCACTGGTGCCCAAGGGTCGTGGCGTGCTCTTCCGTGATCCATTCGGAGACGAGCTCGTTGTCGAATTAACAGCCTGCGGAGGCGCAGGCGCACGGCTGGGCGCGCGGGAGGGGGGCCGGGCGACCAGTGGGCCCGTGGAGCTGGTAGTTCCTTTACCAAATCGGGCTTTTAGGCATTTGAGCCACGGTATGCTTACGATCAGTGGTTGTACAACAAAGTAGAGCAAAACAGTGAGCTAGCGTCCAGCCGGGGCGACCTGAGGGGCCTCCTGAGTAGCCTCTGAAGTCCAGGACAAACCTATTGGGATCCTATAAGTCTCACTCCTCCTCCCTCCTCGTCATCCCTCCTCCGCCTCCACGTGCCTCCTCCTTCTTCCCCTCCTCCTCCTCCTCGATCCTCCTCCCTTCCCCTCGCTCGTCCTCACCCCTCCTCCCCCTCCTCCCCCACCTCCTCTTCGTCCTCGTCCTCATCCTCACTTCTCCTCGTCCTCACTCCTCCTCCTCCCCCTCCTCCTCCTCCTCCTCCTCCTCCTCCTCCTCCTCTATCCTCCTCCGCCTCCTCGGCCTTATCCTCCTCCTCCATCCTCCGCCTCGTCCTCTTTCGTTCTTTTCCCATCCTCGGCCTCATCCACCTCACCTTCCCTTCTCCTTGTTCTCGTCCTGCTCTCCTCCTGCCCCTTCCCTCCCCACGGATTCTTGCAGGTGCGAGGAAGTTCCGAGGAACCTCCTCTCTGCCTCCCCCTTCTCCGCCCTCCGCCCCTTCCCCCCCCCCACGCTCAGAGGAGGAATAAGCCATGGCAGTGGCACGCCCCAAGAATCCCAAGGATTCTCAGGGTTTCTCCTGCTCCGCACGGGATTCGGAAGCTGGGGCCGCTATAGATGCGACGCATCTTGAGCCATTTTTGTTGTTATATTGTAATGATTGGCCGTCTTTATGGGATCATGACGTCATTACTGGATCGTCCATCGCATCACGACTTCATTATTGGACCATCTTACTCCCAGATAGTTCTCGCCATTGGGGCATCTTGCTCCATCATTCGTGAGGGCGCTATTTTATCATATGGTCCATAACTTGCGTTATGGCCCGCCCCCCTCCGGCCCTCCCCCTCCTCACAACGTGTCGCCCGCCCCCCCCCCCCAGTGCGTCCCAAGCATTTCCGCAACGCGTTTGGTTTTAGTCTCTCGCTGTGAGGGGCGGGGGCTCTCCACCCCATACCACCCTCTCTCGTCGCGAACAAACAAATATTCTGCTGGGATCGCCGTACTCCCCTACGTGCGCTGTCGATTCCAGTGTCAATGATCCTTGAGACCAGAGCGTCGCGTGTTTTGGTTGCACCAGGCGTGTTCGCTCAACTTCGGGCCCCAGGACTTCCACAGACCGATCCAGTTCGAGGAATGCCAAAGCACGATGGGGTCGATGGCCTTCGTTGTTACTTATCACGCTGTTGCAACTTGTTCGCGACGCTGGATCTCAGAGTCCCCCCATAAGTTAATATTCTGTGTCGCCCCGCCTGAGGGGAACGACAAAGAAGGGTCACAGTTCGAGGATACAGGTGTCTGTGCATGTGGGGCGTTTTGCGGAGTCTGCAGGCCCCTAGGGCCATGCAGATATTTGCAGGAATTTGTGAAGGTGCGGGATACATTTGGAGCCTTCCTCGCTTGCCTCTGGATTCGGATGTTCTTGTCGCTTTTGAGCCCCGTCGTCCGTGGCCACAGCTGGAAGCTACTCGAAATAATTGTCATCAGGGACCTTTGGATCTTTGCTCCTGGAGGCCTCCGGACGCCCCAAAGTCTCAGAAGCCCCTTGACCCTCGAACCTCCAATCTCGATAGTCATGCTCCCTCCCTGCCTCCCACTCCCCTTCCGACGAAGTCGGTGACAACGACAACGACGGCGGCGACGGTGGCGGCGTCGGCGGCGGCGGGGCGACGACGACGACGACGACGACGCCTGAAGGCCTCCAACGAGCCAGACGTCGCTCCAAAATCTTCGATCCCAGACGGCGGCGGCGGCGGCGACGGCGGCGCCAGCGGCGATGGCGGCGGCGACGTCGGCAGCGACGACGACGACGACGACGACGACGACGGCGCTCCTCCGGAAGGGCACCGCGGCGGCCCCGCCGGCACGCCGCCGGCCGAGGCGCCGCCCCTTGCCCCCGTGGCGGCGCAAGCAAGACTGGGGAGAAGGAAAAGTCAGAGGGATGGGCGGGGCCGGTCCAGGCTGAAGTCGGGCCTGTCCTTCTACAGGGGGAATCTTCAAAAATTGTCAAAACATAGTCTGGTGACGATGTTTTGAACAGTTTTGACAATTTTTGTACATTTGGGGGGCATTTTTTTTGTTCGCCCAAATTCCCCCTGTAGGGGGACACCCCCGACTTAAGTCAAGGCCTCCTAGATGGGGTCGGAGTAGATGGGGTCGGAGGATCGCGCCGCATCGCCGATCGACGATGCGGCTCGATGTGGAGCCCGTGTTCCCCCACGCCGACGTCGCCGATGAATCGGCGATGTGGCGTGATCCTCCGACCCCATCTACTCCGACCCCATCTAGGAGGCCTCTAGCAAAGGAATCCAGAATTATAAATGTTCGGAGCTCCTTCGGACGTTTCTTCAAGAGGCTTACGCCAGTCCGCCGACCCCCAGAAGAGGCGTGGAGTCCACGGTTGAGGCGTCGTGGGCTTCTTGGGCATTATGCGGGTATTCTTGTAGGCGTCGTGGGAGCTGTTCGGAGGCTTGGTGGAGCTTCTTGGAGACAGTTTTGAAGCGTGTTTTGGGCCTCCTTTGGGCTTCTTTTGAAATTTTCTGCTTATGAAGCTTTTTCTTTTTCTGGAGTGGTGCACGTGCCCAGGTCAGCGCCACCGCGCCCGGTAAATCCAGCAAGGGGTTGGTGTCGGCGCAGCGCGCCGACAGGTTTGGGAGAGTGGGGGGGAGTGCCCAGATCGGGCGAGATGGTGCAGGAAAGTGACAGGAAAGCGCCGCTCCCTGGCATCGACCACAGTCCCCGTCTTATTTCAAAGGACACAGCCGCGCAAGAGGACACGTATGTTCGCCTGGTGTAGACCTACGGCGACCCTGCCGCCGGCGTTCATCGCTGAACGCCGCCGCCGACCCATACTCGGTCGATGTTGAACGATCTGATGTTTCGGAAACGGCCGATCGTTCAAGGTTGAACGATTCCCGCGGTGTCAGAAGCCAACGCCGAAGTCGGCATGACACGAACCTGCCGTACAGAGCTTCGAGCTGAGCTCGGCGGGCATTATCACAGCGGCCTTCGGCCCACCCTGCCCACCCGGCCAGGTCGTGGACGAGGGGCGCGGGCAGACCCAAAAGGGAGGCGGAGGATGGAGCTCAGTTTGTTGTTGGCCGCCCGGCGAAAACGGGGACCAGCAACACTTGTTCGGCCTCCCACCCCTCAAAAAATGGAGGAGGAGGACCCTAACCTGCGATGATCTCTGATGTGTTCCATGCGCGGCCCCAGGAGTCCCGACCGCTTCCCTGATGGGCAGCGTGTCGTCCCGGGTCCGTTTGGGATGGTGACGGGGCCAGGTGTCGGTTAATCAAGTTAAAATGTCGGAGATTCTGGGATAGAGCCCAGACAATTTTCGCCGCCCACACACACACGCACACAAGCCGACACACGCACACACATGCATACACATACGCACACACACACACTCACGCATACA